CGGCGATGCCCACGCGGGGGCCGGGACGGCGGACCGAGCACCGCCCTCTGCTGCTCCCCCACCAGCGGCTGTACGCAGTCAGGGCCAGCTCCCCCCAAGCAGCAACGCCCCACGTCGATGGCAAAGCCTGGGCTTTGCTGCGTTTGAACACCAGAGAACCAGAACCGGCCTCCAGCCGGGGTGCTGCGCAGACACAGCTTTCCCAAGGCTCTGAAACTCCGCTACGCGGAGAAGCCCAACGCTCTTCTCGACCAGCACACCCGCTCTGGGCAGCGCAGCTGTCCCGCCCCTGACTGGGGTACTTACCGTGCCAAAGCCGGCAGAACACTTCCACCTACCTTCGAAACTGAAGCCACCCGGCCCGCCGAAGAAGGCCTTGAAGATGTTATTTGCATCAAAGTCTACAGGGAGGAAGAGGAAGTTGTGAGCCGAAGTGAAACCGCCAGTTGCGCTTTTCAGGTTAGACACTGGGTTAGACACTGCCGCTGCCCCGAGGGCCCCGAGCCGCCCCCCAAACGGACACCAAGCTCTCCACAGACCGTGCTCTGCCCGAGCGCCGCCACGCAGCCACTGGCCGGCGGAAAGCGGGTAAAAGCAACAGTCGTCAGCGAGCTGCGGTCCCAGGGGCAACCGAAGGACTTTGGATTAGCAGCATTCGGGGAGCCCCAATCTCCCTATTACGCTGTTTTCCTCTCCCCGTGGAAGACTCCTGCCTCCCGGCAGGCATCACCTGCCAGCTCAGGCGAGGACCCCACCCACCGCGTAACCCGGACCGCTCACAGCTCGAAACGCTCGCTGCAGATCTGCCGCTCAAACGCCTCCAGAGACCAAACCGCGCCAATTCACAGCTTGACTACAGATGGAGGCCTGCTTTAGAGGAGAAGGCCCACTCCAAACGGTGCCATCTTTCCGAAGGCTGCCAGGGTAGAACACCGCAAGGAACACTTGCCTCCCATGTTCAGCCCGTCCTCCTCTAGATCCTGCCCGCTGTCGTAGCGGGCCTTCTTCTTGGGATCCGACAGGATGGTAAAGGCTTCACCAACCTCCTTAAATTTCTTCTCCTCCTCCTTCTGCACTTCCGCACTTGCCCCGCTGTGTCGGTCTAAGGACACAAAAACGAGGAGGAAAGCGGGTTTCACTTTCTAGCGTAAATGGAAAACACTGCACGTGGGGTGGGTTTTTTTTTTTTCTTAAAAAGCATTGTTTGTTTTCAGACACGTCCCGGCTGCTGTCACAGCACGTGTCTCGGGTTTGGGGGGGCAG